AAATATATAGAGATGTGTAGCGTTTAATCAGTGTTTAGCAAACCTTCCTAAGGAAAGGACCACAAGACATTGCAATTACAAAATATTTTGACAGACTTACAGTTCCAGATCTATACCTGTGATTTTATTATTTCAGTTATTTTGCCTGTAATGTAAGTAAACATGTGCAAACAAAATACTTGCTCTTAATGAATTTATTTTGATGTTAATTACATTTACTTACAAATTCCTCTGTATAAAGCAATATGTGCATCAGTGTGTATACAACAGTCATAGCAAGATTTGTCTCATCTTATTTACAGCATCATAGGGATGTAGAAACTTCTAATATAAATGCTGCATATACTTTTCTACAGGCTCTCTGTGAGAAAGTTGGTCCTTTCCTTGTAAACAGAACCTTGGACATCCCCAAAAAATTGCTGTGCTCTATTTGGTTGTTGGCAAACCAAGAGAGCTTCAGGGGTTGCAGACCGGTTTGATATGTCAAAAGGAACCCTTCATTATATTTTTTCAGATATTTGCACGGTCCTTTGTACACTGAGTAACCAATACATTCAATGGCCCAGAGAGGATGAGTTTGCAATCCTGGCAAATGGCTTTCAGGACAAAACTGGCTTTCCTGGAGTCATTGGAGCAATCGATGGGACACACATTCCCATCCTAGCACCCACATTCCATAGAAACAGTTACATAAACAGGAAAGGACATGCAAGTATTCAACTCCATGCAGTGTGTATATCACAGATGAGGTTCCTGGATGTGTACACTGGTTGGCCAGGGTCTGTGCACGATGCTAGAGTGTTTCGAAACTGCCCATTAAATAGCCATCTCCAGGATGTGATGAGAAGTGACTACCACCTGCTTGGAGACTCTGCATACCCACTCAGCACATCTCTCATTACACCATACAGAGATTATGGGCACTTGTCCCAAAGACAGAAAAAATTTAACACAGTCCACAGCTCCACCAGAGTTGTGATAGAAAGGGCATTTGGCCTTCTAAAGGGGAAATGGAGACGACTAAAATATGTAGCGGCAACGAGAATGAACCAAACACAAGTTAAGCTTTCATACATAATCAAACACAAGAGGCTACATATTCCAGATTATCCCAGGCTCTGAAGCCAAAAGACTTTTTGTTGTTTAACTAAAGGAAGAACGTTGTCAATGTTTTAGAATTTGGCAAGAACAGATCTGTTCAGAAATGGTGAAACAAGAGGCCCTAACAAGAGGTCACCTGACCCCTGCGACTACGTCTTTCTTAAGGACCAAGGTCCCATGAGAAGATGAACAGAACAGACTTCAGCAGGAACTATCCGTGACCTCAGACTGGAATGTCTTTCTTAAACCCCAGAAACTTTACACACCAACACACTTTACATATCAAAATCCATAAAACTCATCCCAGAACAATTCTTGACTGACCCATAATCAAAATTATATAACATAACATAATTATATATTGTGTTTACAACCCCTGTATGTGTCTATTCTGCTTAGATCACATCTAAGTCATGTAATTGTTATAACTATGAGATGCTGGAATGAAAGTGTGTCGTGTTTCCTATCATTATGCTCATATATTATTAATTCAGAAGGTTGCTTGATTGAAATCTGTGTAAAAATGTTTATGTTCTTAAAATGGAAATTAACATCCAGTTAACCCAGATTCTAATTACCTTAGCCACACAATAGACATCCTTTAAATAAAGCTGTTAGCAACCCTACCAAGTTATGGAGTAAAAATAGATGCCAACATTGGAGCTACTATGTATCCAACATGGACGCTAATGTGAGACCATCACAGAGTGATTTAATTAAAACCTACAATTAACATCCAATAATGTTTACATAATAATATTTTTAGTAAATCATGAATAACATTTTCTTTGAATCTGGTGTGCTAATTAAGGTTGATGTGGGACAAAAAAAAAATTAACATGGAAAAGATAATCACCAGCAAAAGATGACATGACCAGGACCGGCTCCACACTGGGATCATCAGCCAGGAGGTCCTCCATTGATGAGAAAAAGACCCAGCTGCTGGCACCACTCCCAGTCTTCTTCTTACTGTCCACTATTGTTTTGTATCTATTAAGAGAAACCCAGAAATAGCAAATGTCTTCAAGTGGCCATACTCCCAAAATAATGCAAATGCCAGTATCAAAACAAACCTGTGTTTTAACTGTCTGAACTTATTGTCACATGCCTCTGCTCCAAAGTCATATCCTTTTGCCTGCATTTGTGTAGCTACCTTTTTCCACACTTCTACTTTCTTTAACACAGGAGATTGAAAATCTTCAGCTATTTGCTTTGCCAGAGAAATTAAAAGCAATGTTGCATTGTGCGTCCATGGCTTTGGATCTAAAGCACACATTTAAATAGATAAGTAACAGACAATATATCATTAGAAAAGTTGTGCAAGGAATGAACTTAATGTACCTTTTGGCATGTGTTGGGTCTGACACTGATGCCCACTTTGGAGCACAGGCAGGTGATGGTCCAGCAACAGACAAATTAAGTGGTGTAGTATCTGGAGGCAAATGCAGTGGTGCAGGAGCCAACTTCTGTGGTGCAGGAGCCATCATTTGTGGTGCAGGAGCCAACTTCTGTGGTGCAGCAGGAATGTGTAGGCCCAGTGGAAGTTGACTAGACCCATTTGATGCACTAGCCTGTCCCAAAGGGATTGCTGAAACTGAAATGGAAGCACACATCTTACCTAATTCAGACTAAAACATCTATTTAGCCTCACATACTGACTTGATTTGTAGTTCATACTGTTTTAATACCCTGTATTTTCTTTCTCATTTTTAGGAAAAGCACTTAATTACCATTGTTTATTTCTATACCAAATGTCATACACTTGCAATGAAGCTAAAAATATAGCCTAAACAACTACATCATTATGTTGATATCCTATATTTTACAATAAAACTTACGACAAACATGTCTTCTAATATCCTCAGTTGATGCGTAAACCGAGCTGCATCGAACACATTTGTAAAATACTTTCCTTGAACCCATTGTGTGAGTTCACTTTAATTCCGCGTGCTTTATATACATGTTGCTGCTGATTGGACTGCAGTTCTGACACACCCACCAAACAAGAGAAAACGCATCTCAAACCCTGTTGCACACCGGTGCACGCCGTTTCCAGGAAACATGACGTTCAACCCGGAAACCGTAGCAAAACGTTGCGCATAGTTTTGAACTTGAACGTGCCCCAGGACCCGCCCTGCTCTGCTTCTGATAGGCTTGTGACGTTAGTTAGAGCTGCGCTCCTCCCATATGATTGGTAGGTGAAATCAATTGACTCGAAAATATTAAACCGCATTCAAGTTCCCAGTTTCAAATGTAGCCGCGCGGTATGCGCGCTCACAATGGAAGCGGCGCACTCGTTTTTTCCAAACGCGTCCGCGCCGAAAGTGCCTCCGGCTGTAATTTGCAGCCTGATTAATAAATTTTGCCTGCGCCGGAGGCCGGACCTGCCCTCAAGCCGGAAATCCGGCCCCCGGCTGGAATACGTGCGTGAAGTTGGCCCCCCAACAAACGCAAAACGTCGTCAAACTATGCTAAATCGTTTGTGCTCCGTTTGTGCTGGTTTGTGCTGTAAAAAGTTTCGTTTGTGCTGTTTCGGTTTTTTAGATATTAAATGAATATTTTTAGGTAATTCTGAGGTCACTCAGCCCCCCCACATGCTCCAAATTCACCCAAAATAGTCTCGATCGTTTGTGCTTCGTTTGTGCTGGTTTGTGCCGGTACAATTTCCGTTTGTGCTGCGTTGGGTTTTAAAATATCGGAAATTGAATTATAGACGATGACGTCACCAGCCCCCTCACATGCTCCAAATTCACCCAAAATAGTCTCGTTCGTTTGTGCTGGTTTGTGCTGTAAAAAGTTTCGTTTGAGCTGCTTCGGTTTTTTAGATATTAAAATAATATTAGATGGTCATTCTGAGGTCACTCAGCCCCCCACATGCTCCAAATTCACCCAAAATAGTCTCGTTCGTTTGTGCTTCGTTTGTGCTGTAAAATGTTTCGTTTGAGCTGCTTCAGTTTTTTAGATATTAAAATAATATTAGGTGGTCATTCTGAGGTCACTCAGCCCCCAAGAGGCCAAGAGAATAGCGAAACTATCCTCGAGGTGAGCACACTTTTAAAGTAGAATTGACGAAGACGTTCTGTCATTACATAATTTGTTCAATAAACAATTATCTTCACTTCAGTCTCTTCTGATTGTATTTTATTTTTACGAGTCTCATCTGCTACACTTCACTGCCACCACTAGGGGCAAGTGACACTTCTGTTCAAGAATGCTCTTGTATAAAATGCTGTAGAGTTGGTGGAGAAAAGGTCGATATAAATCAAACTACATAAGTCGTTACTAATCCAAATTTCTGGCCAATGTAAGTATACATTGTTTTAAAACTGTCAGTTACAATATAGCTTCACGAATAATTGTACAACATTCAAGAGAACTTGTTATTGAACAGAAACCTCATTAATAACACTTATATTACTAATTTAGTTATGAAATGCTGATTACAGTTGCAGAAATTTGCCTTTTAGTATTAAAAAACGACCATGGGTCACATGTGCAGCTGTATTTAACATTTCATAGCTAAATTAGTGTTAGCAAGGTGTCAACATTACCATATTGGTCCTAATATAAGATATATTATCCATCTACATTATCCTTACTATATTATATTATCCTATTATTCTTATATTCAGACCAATACAGTAATATATTAAAACAAATTTATGCTGTACCTGGGTAATTGAGGGTAATTATGTTGTGCTTATGCCAGATGCCCAAGAAACCAGCAGTCGACAGGGATTCCATTTTCACAGTCCTGTGTTCATCAAAGGAGGCCATAGTCCAAAATGGCAACATAGCTACTCCTAATCAGAGCATCTGGACAGAGCTTAGTAAACAGCTAGACAACAAGATCACTGCAAAGGCACTATACACTTTTGTTAAATTAAACAGACACAATATCTGGACTGCTTTAGGGTTTACTCATGAAAGTGATCATGAAACAAGTGGCAGTAGTGATGACACTGATTTTGAGCCAGGGTCCCTTTCCTCCAGTCCAAAAGATTGCTGCACTTTTGATTTTGAAGTTCCATTTCAGAAATGGATTGAATTTATGCCTGAAACAGTAACATACAAAAACAAGTTCCCTAAAACAAAAAAAAGGGAATACACAATTTTGAAGCTTGGTATCTGGACGCATGTGATAAATCATCACATTTGGCAAGAAGTGAAATGCCCCTGCACATTTGCTTTTAAAAGAGCCAAGGTCTATCCATCAGTCACAGACAAATATATTGTAATCAGAGGCAACTGTAAGGAGTGCCGTGGCCACATTCACATAAAATGTGAAAAAAAGCCTGAAATAAACAGCACAATGAAGTTCAGGTGTTCACTTAAAAACACTGATGACTCCCTGCATACTGGCTGTTCCAAGCGTGCGATGTCTGGTAACTTGCGTGTGCAGATATCCAAAGAACTGTGTGAGGGTAGAAAGGAACCCCATGTATGGAGGGCATCAGAGGCAACAAAGCTGATGGATTTTGGAGATCCTGAGCCAAGTCATCTGCCTAATTTGGCCACCCTGCGCAGAGCAAAGCAAGAGAGAAATGATTTAGAATTAGGCGACAAGGATCCTATTCTGTCATTGCAGATGCTAAAATACAGTGCACCTCACAGTGGTAGCATTAAAGACATTGGACTAGACAAGTTTTTCTGTCACTATTGGAGTCAAACACAAATGTATATGTACAAGACGTTATCAAAGACATCTACTAACCCCACTGTGAGTTTTGATGCAACTGGCTCAGTGGTGAGGAAACTACAGAGACCAAATCTCTGTAGAGTCTGGCCATATATTCCTATATCAGGGTGTTGTGGCAGGGGGTGAGAGCTCAAGTGTCCCAGTGGTGCAAATGCTGTCAGAGAGACATGATGTTAATGCCATAACACATTGGCTGACAGAATGGATACGCGCAGGTGCACCTACTCCAAAAGAGGTTGTGAGTGACTTTTCTCTGGCTTTGCTCTGAGCTTTGGTCAAGGCTTTTACTTCTCATCCTGATCTTAAGACCTACATCAATGAGTGTTGTGGTGTCTTACTCGGTAGACAGTCAGCAAAAGTCCCACCTTGTTTCGTGCGGGTTGATGTTGCACACTGCATCAAGATGATCTGCCGGTGGGACTGCTTAAAAAAAAAAAACCATCGCATTAAAGATTTCTTTGTTAGGTCAATAGCTCAGCTTCTCATGTCACAATCCATGGACGATGCAAGAGAGCTACTAAGATGCATTACTATTGTGGCTCTCAGCGAAACAGAGGGTAGTGGCAGCTCTGGAGCCCCCCTCATTTCAGAAAGGTGCAAGAAATACCTAAAAGCCCGAATTGCAGAAGAGCGTGTCATCATTCCAGATGTAGAGGGTGCGGACCTGGAAGAAGTGGATCCATGTGACCAAACACAGACAGACCTGCGGCAGTGGGTAACAGACATATGTGAGGAGAGCAGGTCACTTGCCACATCTAATGGTGATCATGACAATATGCACTTCCTCCCTGAGATTATTCCAAACATAATCTGGCTTGCAAATTACTTACCTCTCTGGACAGGGGTAATGATCCCTCACTTCTGGAGCTCCAACATCACCGCAAGTTCAGCCAATGTCGAAGCCGAGTTTAAAAACATCAAACGCGGCCTTTTCAAGCATGAACACTTGCCTATTCGAGTGGATCGATTCATTGCTCGACATCTGTCCTTCATTGAAGGCAACATGCGTATTTTTTCTGCAAAACAAAAGAGTGTGGAAAAAGGTAAAGAGGATGAGGCTGTTGCGACAGTGCTCGACACAGGAGTCAATCCACTACCCACCGCAACCTGCAGGATAGATGGAAGGCCAGAGATGGATGCTTCCTGCTCTGGGAAGTCTGACACCGTCACAAACATCCATCCAACAGATGAAGAAGCTGTTGAAAACTGGTGAGGCTTAGCGGTTCCACCCAAAAAGAGAAAGAGGAGTTCATACCTCTCTCCTTGTCCTGAATGGCTCCATGCAGATCCATCTGTGAGAGGGAAAAGCCTCAAAGTGGACCTGTTGAAAAATGGAAACAATCAACAGCCTGTTAAATTCAGGAAATCAAGAATCTCTGTGCTTAACACATGTGCATTTGATGCTTTTTGTCAATGCTTATGTTGTGCTTACTGTGATAGTGTCACTTTTGAAAATATTGTTTGCAATGAGGATTCCTACAACCTCCTCCAGCTAGTGAAATCCATCACCACAAAGGGTCTGAATACACAGGCCTACATACAGAGGGCAGAACTGCTGAGCGAAATATTCAAAGCTGTCCGACTGAAGTCTGGTGCTCTCCAAATCGATGCACAATGCCACATCTCCACTATCATTGAAAAGTCAATGACAAAACGCACTTGTGTTTCATTAACAAAACAGTGCTCTTCACAGTATTGTGGTCTCCGCAAACAAGTCACAAGGGAAATTGCATTTGTTTGTACTTCTGTTGCTGTACTGCAGGCTTCTGGCATGGCTCATCTTCAGACCGCAGTGGAAGAAGGCCTTGACCTCCCGGAGTCCCCCTGCCTCAGGTCGATCCAAAGTCTGTCACAGTGTCCCTCTGCAATCAAGCCAGATACCTCAAAAAAAGTCCTCTGTGCAGGGAAAGTTTCTCACAGTTACAGTCTGGGAGAACTTATGTGGATTGACACTGACCTGGGAAGCAACTCCACAGAATTTCCTTTGAGTGAATTTCCCTCCAATCTCATGCTCCAGGGAAAGAGACTTTACTTTACTTTGCTGGCAGTCATTGCTTTTAGAGGAGGCTTAACCCAGGATGCTCTTGGGCATTATGTGGCCTTCTGCAGGAGGTCTCCATGTGTCTGGGAGATGTATGATGACCTGAGAAGTGGAGTGACAGCAGCGTCAGATAAAAACAAAATATGCCCACATGCTATATTATACACAAAAGACTGATTGCACTATTTATATTTAATTTTACAAGTTAAATTATTTTGGTTGAACTTTTTGTATGCCACATACCCTTGTTTTCCTACTCCTGTTAGGAGAAGGAAGTAGTGTGCTATTTTATGGAAGTTTGCACTCAAGTCTATTAATTTGTGTGGTATCTTTTGGTTTGAAGACAGATTTAAACTTGTCAGTATTAATTGTTTTTAAGTTTAAGTTTTTAACGTTTTTTGTTTTTTTTGTTAATGGATGTTCGATAGTACATAATTAAATTTCAAAAGCTAAATCATTTTGACTTAATTGAGTCATGAGTTTCCTCATACATAATAATAATAATAGTAGTAATTAAATGATATACACACAGACACATAAATACACACACAGTAGCCTACCAGTCAAAAGATTTAAAAGGTTTATTTTTTAATGTTTCTCAAAGTTTAATGTTCCCTTATGCTCACTAAGGCTATATTTATTGTATCAAAAATACAGTAATATTGTGAAATATTATTCCAATGTAATACTGCAGTTTTATATGTGAATATATAGTAAAGTGTAATTTATTCCTGTAATCAAAGCTGAATTTTAGCATCATTAGTTCAGTGTCACATGATCCTTCAGAAAACGTCTCGGGTTATGACTATAACCCTTGTTCCCAGAGAAGGGAACGAGACACTGCGTCGAGAATCGACACTTTGGGGACGCTCCCCTAGCGTGCGCCTCTGAAGTATGAATGAAACTATTCCAATCCTGATTGGTGTTGCGTCATGACGTAACATGTGACGGCATAACCGGATGCATAAAAGCGAAACCGGAACAACACACACTAGCCTAGCGATGAAGCAAGCCGCTCTCAAACCTCGAGGGGCGTGGCAGAACGACGCAGTGTCTCGTTCCCTTCTCAGGGAACAAGGGTTATAGTCATAACCCGAGACGTTCCCTTTCGAGGGAACTCTACACTGCGTCGAGAATCGACACTTTGGGGAACGAATGCCCACTAGGCCACGCACCGAATAGGTCTGTCCCGGAGTGAAGCTAATTAGGCACTCAGCAAGGACTGAGCACGTGTGCGCCAGGTGTACTAGGAAGGTGGAGACTGTAAAACCTAATGAAAGTATGTGGAGTAGCCCAACCGGCTGCCTCACAGATCTCCTGTAGAGGTACTCCCGAAAGAAGGGCCCTAGAGGAAGCCATGCCTCTAGTTGAGTGAGCCCTCACGGCTAAAGGTGAAGGCAAGCCGCGCACCTTGTAAGCGTCAGTAACAGCCTGAACAATCCAATTACTAATAGTTTGCTTGGATGCCGGGAGTCCCTTCTTAGGTGACCCAAAACATACTAATAATTGGTCCGACCTTCTCCAAGAAGAGGACCTCTCAAGGTACACGCTCAAAGCTCTGACGGGGCAGAGCAAATGAAGCTTCTCTTCTTCTGCCGACACATGAGGTGGAGGATGGAACGCCTGAAGGACCGTTGACCGAGCCGTGTCAGTAGGAACTTTAGGCACGTAGCCCGGACTCGGGTGCAAAAATGCTTTAACTCTGCCAGGGGCAAACTCCAAGCAAGGTTCGAAGGGGGCCAGGGATAACCCTTCGAGAACCACCGCCAGGTCCCAGGCAGGAACCCTGGACCTGGTCGTCAGTCTCATCCTCCATGTACCACGGAGAAAACGAATGACCAGCTGGTGCCTCCCCAGAGGCCCATCACTCAATGGTGCATGGAAAGCCGCAATGGCAGCCACGTACACCTTAAGTGTGGAAGGGGAGAGACCTGCAGAGAAACGATCTTGAAGAAACTCCAGAACTGAAGCCACCGGGCAGTTAACTGGATCTAACTCCTGTTCTCTACACCAAGTGGAAAAAACATTCCACTTGAGGCCATATAATCTCCTAGTAGACGGGGCCCTAGAGCTAAGTATGGTTTCAACCACTCCGGCAGATAGACCAGCATCTAGGTACTGAGCCCCCTCAGGGGCCAGACCCACAGTTTCCACAGCTCTGGCCGAGGGTGGAATACCTTCCATGACCGCGCCCCAACCCGTGAGGGAGGCATCTGTCGAAACGGACTTCCGGCGACATGATGCCCCTAACACTGGCCCTTGGGACAGGAACCAAGGCTTCTTCCATATTACTAGAGAACGAAGGCATCTGCGCGTTACTCTGATCATACGGAACGGATTCCCCATGGGGGAAAACCCCTTGGCTTTCAGCCACCACTGAAGGGGCCTCATGTGTAGAAGGCCCAAAGGAATAATGTTGGATGCCGCTGCCATGAGGCCCAGCATTCTTTGAAATCGCTTTACAGTGATGGCCTGGCCTAGCCTTATTCCAGACACCATCGACAGAATAGACTCGATACGTGCGGGAGACATTCGTGCCCGCATCGTAACTGAATCCCACACCACGCCCAGAAACGTTGTGCTCTGTGATGGTTCCAACACACTCTTCTTTGTGTTGAGTCTCAACCCCAAACTCTGAATATGGCTAAGGACGACATCTCGATGCCGAACTGCCATTTCTCGAAACTGGGCCAAAATGAGCCAGTCGTCGATATAATTCAGTATGCGGATGCCCTGAAGTCTCAATGGAGCTAGTGCTGCATCCATGCATTTGGTGAACGTGCGGGGAGAGAGTGCTAGGCCGAAGGCAAGAACCCGATATTGGTACGCTTCGCCCCCGAAAGCGAACCTCAGGAACCTCCTGTGACAAGGAAGGATGGATACATGAAAATAAGCGTCTTTTAGATCTATCGTGACAAACCAGTCCTCGGACCTGATTTGATTCACGATGATGGGGATAGTGAGCATTTTGAACCGAAATCTCCTCAGAGAACGGTTCAAATGCCTTAGATCTAAAATTGGCCTCAGCCCT